CCTTTCCAGCTGGGACCTTTTTCCTCTGCCGGTGACCGAGGGCTTGTAGGCGCAGGCACAGCCCCAGCACTTGAGCAAGGGTGAAGCAGCTCCGTTGAGTCTGTAGGGACCCAGGGAGGAGGAAGATCCTCATCAGTCACAGCAACCGACCCCTGTCTGGGGTCATCCTTTGGAATAAACCCGTAACTTAAAGTGTGCTGTGATCATTAAAATACAGAGAATCCTCCTCTGATACTTGCATCACTCTGCATTTTTGCTCTGTCGCAATGGGCATTGTGGCTGCCAGACCCTCTTTGCCTGGGGACTGCGTTTGGATGAAGCAAGGTCCTCAGAAACCTTCCCTCCTCCCCAGTTCAAAGGCTCCTTGTGATTAGACAAACAACCCTGGAATTTGGCATCACGCTGCTGCGCTTTAATGCTGCCGGGCACGGAGTTGAGTTCAGGCTGCAAAAATGCAGCAGTCTGTTTCTGGGGACAGGGTCAATGGGGAGCATCAGTGGTGTGGTCAGCAGCGACCTGGCTCTGGCTTGTAACAGGCTATTTTGTGGATAAAAAGCCTATTTTGGTGTGGCACAAACAGCTTTGAGGTGAGAAATGTGTTATAAAATGCAGGGTACTCCCTGAAAGCACCAGCTGCAGGGGTCACACCGCTCTCTCCTCCTGCAGGCCATCAGCATCAGCAAAGCCATAAATACACAGGAAGCACCGGTGAAGGAGAAACATGCCCGACGTATCCTTTCCCTTGGCTCGCCTGGATGGTGCAGAGGAGATGCAGTGCGAGGTTTCACCCCATGGGGCTGGAGCTGTGGGAGGTTTTGGAGACGGGGAACTCATGCAGAGCTTGGCTGGGAGGTGGCATCATGTAGGTTTGTCCGTCAGTGAAAATGCAGCAATTGCATTGCATTTCTTGGGCAGTAAGATGCAGAGGGCCCTGGTGTGCCCTGCAGCAGGGGAAGGGGCACCAGAAGGAAAGAAAAGGGGTTTTATCTGTGAGTGCAGCATCATGCTGGTGATCCCTGTGCCTGCAGTACACTCGCTGTGTCCCCTTTGTAATGAGTGTGAACAGGAACAGTCCCCAGCCCAGCCTGTTCCCTGCTCCCGTGTGTGTCCCGTTGGCCTTGACCATAGGGCAGGGATCATCCTGGGGACACACCATGAGAAGGGAGCTTTCACCTTCTGGTCCTACGCCATTGGGCTGCCCCTGCCCAGCAGCGCCATCCTCAGCTGGAAGTTCTGCCACGTCCTGCACAAGGTCCTGCGCGACGGGCACCCCAACGTGAGTGTCCCCTCGCAACACCCCTCCTGCTTTGCTGGTGAGGTCCCTCTGCACAAAGGGTGGGTTTCCTTCCCTGTCCCTGCCACCTTTTCCAGGCCATGGGGCTGTGAAGCACTCTGTTACCTCCCGTCTTTGAAACCAACCCATCAAAGCCCCAACCTTTGTTTGCCATTGAAAGGCTCGAACCTCTTCCAAAGCTGGAGCAGCAAAATGGGTCGGATCCATCCCCCTCCCCAGCTTCAGGGCAGGCAGGAGGGCACTTGCCCAGCTCCATGCCAGTCCCGCCATGCCACATCCTTCCTGTTTTCCATAGTTATAGCATCCTACAATGGTTTGTGTTGGAAAGAACCTTAAAGCTCATCCAGCTCCAACCCCTGCCCCGGGCAGGGACACCTTCCACTAGAGCAGGTTGCTCCAAGCCCGTGTGTCCAACCTGGCCTTGAACACTGCCAGGGATGGGGCAGCCACAGCTTCTCTGGGCACCCTGTGCCAGCGCCTCAGCACCCTCACAGGGAAGAGCTTCTTCCTAATGTCTTTGTAATGTTTTTGCCTCCAGGTCCTCCAGGATTGCCAGAGGTACCGCAGCAACATCCGAGAGACGGGGGACCTGTGGGTGAGTGGGGAGAAGTGAGGTTTGTGCCTTCTGGGGAGTTTGGAGGCGGGTGCTGATAATCGTTTTGAACACAGGGAGGGCAAAGCACCACCTGAAATAACCCATCATCTGTGACCCCGCTGGGTGATGTCTGTGTGCAGGGTGAGAGCCGCAGGGCCACCAGCACATGTGGGAATCTGCTGGATCTGGTTGTATCACTTCAGACTTGCCTCCTTTCCCCTTGTGTCTCTGGCAGGGCCATTTACATGACAGGTACGGGCAGCTGGTGAGCATCTACACACGGCTCCTCCTCGTCAAGATCTCCTTCCACATCAAGGTGAGACCCTCTGCTGCCTCCATGCCCTGCCCTGCCGGGGGATGGGGCTTCACTGGGGGATGCTTCACCCCAAAAAAACCATTATCAGCAACTGCTGGTTTTGTTCTCCTTTTACAAAGCATCCCGAGTTCCCCCCGGGCCTCGAAGTGCCGGATGAGGTGCTGGAAAAGACGGCAGGGACGGATGTGAACAACATGTGAGTGTCCTGGCAGGAGCACAGTGCCCGGTGCATGGCCACCGCCGCCGTGCTGTCAGCATCCTGCAACGAAACAGCTCCTGATCAGAGCAGCCAGTGGTGGTTTATAAGTGGTTTATAAACTGGTTGGATGGTGCCTGATTCCTCCTGCACCTGCAGAGCAGTGAGGAGTGTAAATGCAGGGAGCAAACCTGCTGTGGCTGCCCCGTCCCTGGTGGTGGTCAATGGGACAGGGCTCGGAGCAACCTGCTCTAGTGGAAGGTGTCCCTGCTCCTGGCAGGGGGGTGGAACTGGATGAGCTTTAAGGTCTCCTCAACCCAAATCCTTGTCACTCTGAGCCCTCACCATCATGAGGACCTGCAGTGACCATGAGCAGCCAGAGCAAGGATGTCTCTGCTGATGGGTGATGGGGTTTTGGGTTTTTTTGGCAGCTTCCAGCTGACGGTGGAGCTGTTTGACTACCTGGACTGGGAGCTGAAGCTGTCGGAGTCAGGTGAGGAGGCAGCAGGTCCCTCCCTGGGGCTCTTGAGCAATAGTTTCGCTCTTTGGTCAGGAATGGAGCTCCGGAGCCTGAGGTCAGAGGCTCAGCTCCTTCCTCCTCCAGCAAGGAGCTTTCTGAGCTTGTTTCTCAGCTGGATTCCCCTGTTGATGCTCTGTAGAGGAAAACATTTGAGGAACGTGGTGGTTTTAGCCCACCTGAGCAGTGCAGAGCGTTGTTCTCGGAGCAGTGCTGCTCTGAAATAGGTTCTTACTTGCTTTTGGTACAACCATGTTAATCATATGCATTACCCAAATCCTTTGTATCGCCCTGAAGCAGAGGATGGGGCTGTACCTCTTTCTAAATACTCATTTTCCCTTGCTGGAAGTCCTCTGGGGGTGTCTGGTTCTCTTGGCTTCTTCTCCAGGAATTTTTAGATGGCTTAAAAATGGGGCAGTTTCTTCCTCTGTTGCGAGTCAAGAGCACGGAGCTGCCCTGGAAAACAGGGCACAGCAGGAGACACCGTGCTCCCAGCTCCCACCAGCCTCCCGCTCTCCTCCTGACCCAGTTATACAGAGAATTTATATTCATAAATACTTTAAAGCTGAGCAGGGAAGAAGCCGGAGTGGATGTGCTGGCTGGATTCCTGCCAAGGGAAGGGATCTGTTTCCAAGCCGGGGCATATGAGGCTGCAGTGTCGGCAGGTCCGTCCCCTGCCCTGGGATGCTCTCCCAGCTCCTTGCACAGTTAAATAGAGCAGAGCTTTGCCTTCCTAGCTGTGTTGTGCAGCTCCTGAGGTCAGACATCCGGCCTTGACATTGTTTTGGGGTTACATCCCTCCTTTTTGAGGTTGGGGTATCCAGGGCAGAGCTGAGCACCCCTTCCCTCTGCCATCACTGTCCCTTTGGGTGTTCTTGGTTTGGAAGGCGGTTGTTCCCAGCTCAGTGGGACAGGGCAGGCAGCAGCCCCGGTGTTTATCCCATGTCCTGGCAAAGCCACATCTGTTGTGGTTAATGATCAAGCAGAGACGTGGTGCCAGCACCTCACTGTGCTCACCCTCCAGTTTTTAGGCAGCTCAACACCTCGATGGCGGTGTCGCAGATGTCGGCGGTGCAGTGCCGCCTGGCCCCCCTCATCCAGGTCATCCAGGACTGCAGCCACCTCTACCACTACGCCGTCAAGCTGATGTTCAAGCTGCACTCCTGTGAGTCCCTGGGGATGTGCCCCATGCTGGTCTTTTCCTGGGTTGGGCTTCTGGATGGATTTGGGGATCAGGCTTGTGTGGATGGAGGTGTCCGTCACCGTGTCCCCGGTATCCCAGCCAGACTGTGAGGACCTGCTCCATCCCATAGAGACATCCCAAATGAAGGAATTGGGACTCATCCTTGATTGGTTCCAACTGATGTGCCTTGGCCTGCCAGCCCCATGATGGGACTGCTGGGCAGCACGGTGCCAGGGGCTTCATGTGGGGATTTTGGGGTTTCCGCAACCATGCCTCCCTGTGCCGTGTCCCTGGTCCCTATCCCAGGGATGGGGACACCCCCCTCCTGTCCTGACCCCTCACATCCTGCTCCCACCTGGCCTTTACCTGCTGGCTCTGGCAGCCAGAGGGACCTGCTGCGTGTGAATGCATTTGCAGCCCTGGGTCAGTGGTGTCTGTCCCCTCCATCACTGCAGGTCTGCCGGCCGACACGCTGCAAGGCCACCGAGACCGCTTCCACGAGCAGTTTCGCAGGTAACCAAGGGCTGAGGTGGGGTGCTGGGGTCCCCTCCCTCCTGCCACCCCCCTTCCCCACGAGCAGTTCTTCTTTCCCCCCTCTCCAGCCTCAAAAACTTCTTTAAGAAAGCATCCGACATGCTGTATTTCAAGCGGCTCATCCAGATCCCTCGGCTGCCGGGGGGACGTACGGCAGGATCTCGGTGTGGTGTCTGCGTGCGATGCTTTGGCAAGCGTGTGGGTTCAGGGTGTCCCCACGGATGGGTTCAGTGTCTGAGGACACAGCAGCACATGGATGGCTGCCTCCCTCCCTCCCTTCTCTTGGTGTGCTGCTGCAGTGGTTCCCAAAACCCCAGGCCATGCCACCACAATGTCTTGTCCCTGCAGAGCCCCCCAAACTTCCTGCGGGCATCCGCGCTGGCCGAACACGTGAAGCCGGTGGTTGTTATCCCTGAGGAAGCCCCCGAGGATGAGGAGCCGGAGAACCTCATTGAGATAAGCACAGCTTCCACCATGGAGCCACAGGTAGGTTGCGGACACAGGGATGGGGACCCCGCGACAGGCGGACACGGGTACCCACAGCCTGGCTCAGCTCAGCACCCTCTGTCTTCTCCAGGTCACCTCGGATATATTTGACCAAACCTTTGGGCCTCCCAATGGCATTCGGGATGACAGGTATGGGGGGTCCAGTGGTGATGCCGGTGGGGTGGCCACTGCCACATGAGACCAACCTGCCCTTTCCCTGCAGGGATGCACAGATCGAGAGCCTGAAGAAGGAGGTGGACATGCTCCGCGCAGAGATGGAGAAGATTAAACTGGAGGTAAAGCCCTGTTGGGAAGCAGCCAGTGCAGCAGAGCGGGGTGCTTTTGGGTGCTGTAGTGTTGAAACCCTAATGGGATGCAGCCGGAGCAGAGTCCTGGCACCCAGCACTGTGTTTTGGGGCCTCTCCCAGGACCCACCTCCTGATGGGATGGGGTTGGAGGTATGAGACGCGTCCCCTGCTGTCCTCACTGTCTGTTAGCAGCGGGGACAGAGCTGCCGCAGGAGGGGAGAGACCTTTCCAGTGCATCTCGCAGCAGCGTCGCCCAAATCACAGCCAGGCACTGGGATAGGGATGCTGGAGAGGGCAGAGTCGTTGCTGGCACCGGTGCAGCGCAGAGCCCGAGTGCCGCTGGTGCCCCGCAGGCGCAGCGGTACATCACGCAGCTCAAGGCGCAGGTGAACAGCCTGGAGGGAGAGGTGGAGGAGCAGCGCAAGCAGAAGCAGAAGGCGCTGGTGGACAACGAGCAGCTGCGGGATGAGCTGGAGAAGCTGCAGAGGGTGAAGCAGGACAGCGACAGGTCCCAGCGGCTCTGTGCCGAAGCAGAAAGTAGGTGCCCTACAGCACCCGTTGGCCCCGGGGTGTCCTCGGCACCGATGCTGATGCTTTCTCGCCCTGTTCAGAGAAAGCCACCGCCACTGAGATCCGCTACACAAAGCTGAAGGAGAAGCACAGTGAGCTCATCAACACGCACGCCGAGCTCCTGAGGAAGGTAACGCTGCTGCTTGTGCCCAGCAGGGACTAACTCTGCCACCACCCGTGTGCCCAGCCCCGTCCCATGTTGGTCCCATCATCCTGCATCCGGGGACCTCTGAGCACTGGGTTTGGGGACCCCCTTGAATTCATGCTCACGAGCAGTCGGCATTTTGGATGCCGTGAGAAAAGGCATCTTGGAGGTGTCCCCTGAGCCGGAATTTGGTGGGAATGAGCGTGGCTGTGGCGGGGGGGCCCCCCCCCGGACCCACAACACACC